GTTCGGCATCTCACTCCCTCTTGAATGGCTTATTCAAAAATATGCGGCAAAGAGTCCGCCGTGAACTATGCACATCGATAAATCTGACTATTAGGGTCAACGTTAAGAACGTACAGAAGTTGAGCTGTATCGGCAACGAATTATTAAGAAGTCCGGATGTGTTGTGCGAAGTCGAAACCCTAGACTTCATTAATTTTAGTCGACATAAACAATAACTAAGTCATATAAAATAGCAATCCACACCCTAACTAAATATCAAAACGTACAGCCTTGGAAAACATGTGAAATTCGCGTGCTCCTACAAGGAACGGGGTCATATGCCTCTTAGATTAAAAACACTATCACTTTGCTCTACTATTTCAAAGTACAGTTATTTAGAACTTATTGTGTTAAGACCAAAATCAATATATATGTTGACAACTGTTCAATTTTTAACCAATTTGATTTCCTAAGGTGATGTAATAGGCCACGCCTTCCTCGTATCTCTGTTCTGGTGTTCTGTCCTCGTCTAAATACCAATTTCCCAGTACTTGTGAACATTCAGAGACAAAACAGTTGTAATTTTAGTTCGTGCAGTTTTACCATGTTGTAGTTTAAATACTGTTCCAGATGTGAAGGGTTTAATGTAGAAAATCACAGCACCTGCCCCGTTAAAAAACTTGAACAGAAACAAAGCCAAATTTTGATTTGTACCCGTTTGATTTCTAATGCGGATTCACTTCACCGTCTGCATTTCATCGTAAGTCTATTTAATGCGTACTTGCACTGGTAGTCAGCTTCTGTCTCTCAAATTGAATGGCCCGACGAGCCTTGGCTGTATGCCTGGTCTTCGCCACTGACAAGATTCAAAAACCATTATGAGGCTTTTAAAATGCTCTGCGATACGAGCGGTATCATAGACTTTTTGAGTCCCGACCAAACTCTCTCGCCCTTACCGGGCAAAACATGGTCTCGCCGGTCACCAGGTAGGTTTCACCTACTGCTTGGCCTCTGAGCTGTGCGAGTCCTTATCTCCGTGCCTCTTTCGTGCGGCAGTAAATAATTTACAGTACCGAGGTTGTTGTACGGCTCAACTATCATCAAAATAAAGCTTGCTCAAGTAAACGTTATTGTGGTCACAAGTGTAACGTCAGCTCCTGTCTAAATCATCACATCATGATTATGTAATTTACGCCGTCGTCCAAAGTCGCTTGCCGCGCTACGTGCAGAGCCTCTGCACGTAGATCTTCCGCTTACACTCGGATCGACCCAATCGGGTAGAAACGCTCCACAAGTTCACTTTAACCCACATTTCATCCCTATTGAGGAATACAATCTGCGCTTGAAACAGCAGCAATTATGAACCTGTAATCTCCATAAAAATATACCTTAGGCCCCAGAAGCCTGCTAGAGGCCCCTGAGTGTATGAGCCAGGTCGCGCACTGGGTGAAGCCATCACATCATGATTATGTAATTTACGCCGTCGTCCAAAGTCGCTTGCCGCGCTAGTGCAGAGCCTCTGCACGTAGATCTTCCGCTTACACTCGGATCGACCCAATCGCGAAATAACGCTTCGCAAGTTCACTTTAAACCCAAAATCCATCTCTCTTGAGGAATACAATCTGCGCTTGAAACAGCAGCAATTCAGAACCTGTAATCACCTTAGGTTCCAGAAGCCTGCGAGAAGCCCCTGAGTGTATGAGTCAGGTCGCGCACTGGGTGAAGAAGACGCGCTGTTTCAAACGTTTAAGCTAATTTTAGCAAAGCGGAAATCCGTTCGGAGCGTTATCTCATGCTTGACTTTGCAAAGTTCTACTCGACGTCGTGGTCAAGGTTGCAACACTTCAGCGCAATTAACAGCCCGCTTGTTTTCATGGGACATCGATCGTCTTAGGGTTTTCTTCCTTGCGAGATCAATCCCCTCCTACTTGAAGGAAGCGCGCTGCGACGATTAGTCCTGCATCTCTTCAAGGAGAAAATTGCCGAGGATGTATCGCGCCATAAATGGTATTGTCACCAGATGAGTCCTGAAAAATATAATCTCAACCTGCAACAAATTTCTCGGCTATTGATAACCAATTCACACTTCACCAGATACTGTAAACAGCCCTAGTGAACCAACAGGGACTTCAAACGTTTCATCGAAATGCGTTCTGCCACTTGCTTATCGGACAATGCCGGCAGAGACCGACCCATCCGCGGTCAGCTCTCGTGATCTGTCGCGGTTGTTGCGGCAAGTCGACTGTCTCATAGGTCACGGCGAGCATCCGAGGCTAAGATGAGCTATATTCACTCTCTGACCTTCGTCAGCGCACTGTCTGGCATCAGACACGCCAAATGAGCAGTTCAGAACCATGTCGTTTCTTTGAAGGGATGTCGCTTATTGCAGAGGATAGTATACAAATTGCTTCGTATGCAACAGATTCCCCATGTCTGACTGGCTCGTAAGAGTGGAATCAAGATATGGCTTCAGTAAGCCTACAAAGAATAATGGGTGTGTTTGTATTTGCTTTTCGATATTGGGAGCTGAACTCAACTCATTTTGTGACAATCGTGAGAAGTCCGATGTAGCGCGGTCGCAATATGCATTTATTGACCGCAGACACTATATGTGTAGTCAGCTTTACTGCATCCAAGAAAACCTTTTGACGTGCTTCCACCTGCCTATGACATCGACATGCAGCTTTGTATTTCTTGACTTTAAGTCATAGCGTCGCGCGAAGGCTGCACGAAGCTCAACTTCAATCACAATTCTACTGGGACTGGCAGCTTGGCAAAACGCATCCGCTGCATACGAGGTGAATAAAATTCGCTGACACGTTTGAAACGTGTCAACACATATGCACACTCATTAATACATACACTGGGTCACCGATACATAGCGATTACGAGCAATATGTCTTATATCTAGCCAGATTTCCACCCAAAGGGGTCGTAAATAATTATTTACTTGAGACCACCATCGTGAGGCACCACTACACGCGCAAGTAGTGCTATGAGGTAGCAATCCCTGTGTAATGGGCCTCTCCATTACACAAGGAGGTGGATTGTTTTACATAAGTAGGTACATCATCCAATTGGCTGATATACGGGAGTCAGATTCATTGTTAGCCAATTAGTCGATTACGTGTATTTGAGCGACCAGTGCCTTCGCCCTGGTCCTAAAATAAAGTCAGAGTCGAATTTTTCAGAAACCTAAGACTCACTCGCTCTATCGCGAACTTCCTCAACACTACAGTGTACGCAAGTAATGGAGTGAATACCTGGTCAGTTACACCCTGGAGTAAAGCCTAGCGATATTGGCGTGCAACTGTGCACATCGAAATGCGATGTCTGAGTTCTTGACCGCAGTGCTTACCAAATCTATCATCTGCGCAAAAACCGTTGCGTTTGTCCGTACACTGGATGAATCGCCTCATCATATGACAACATCACCGCTGTGACATGAGACAGCTAGTAGCTGGCCGACGAGATCATGCATACATCCCCAGACTTACTTTATTCTTATCCCAAAGTTATTCGGTAAGAAAGAAAAATTACTTTGACATCTGGTTGAAGTAAGCGTTTGACGTGAAATGGTTAAGATCGTTTCGGAAATAGATTCGGGACTACAAGAGGCTTTTCCAATAGGATTGAACTTTCTATTCTGATGCACCCCAAAACCGTTTCATTTCTTTTTAACGATATCGGTGGGTCATGTAAGCAAACAAGAAGTTGGACAGGATAAGGTACTTCCTCAAGTTTTGTTAGGACAGAGGCATTGGCCAGTCTACAATGACCTTTCACTTCGCGGGAACCGCTCTAAGGCTCACGCTCGAGCACTGCTCGCAAGTGTTCAACGTAGAATTTCACGTCCGATTTCGGGGTTGTAGACGACTATAAACGAATATATCGTGGATACGTGATGATTAAATTTCTGTATATCGTCGCATGGACGGCAAATGGCCTCGATGGTTTTCGCAACCTTTGTGTTCAACATCATTTCCATTCTATGAGTCATGTGACCGTCGAGTATAACCGGGTCTTTCCATTTCCTGACACGGTTGACACTCTCGGATGTCATCTCGGATCCTCTAGTCCCAAAAGGTTGTCTGTAATTCTTTGGTCTGCTTAGACACCTGAGCCTCATCAAATTAATGAAGTGCTGCTGACAATGCTGTTCTGCAGCAAATACTTACCATATACCTGCATTTGCGCCGAAATCATGGCACAGAAAGTTGACGCCGAGTATAAGGATTCGATTTCTCCCGCCAAACACGCTTTGAATTTTGTACAAAAGAGAGCGTCAATGACTTCACACTTTTCTATAAAAATGGTCATTGTCGTGTGACACAACGCTGGGATTCCGAGACCGAGTCAATTTCGTGATGCATTACATCATCCTGCGGAAAAAAGTTAGACAAATCCATCGCCATCACCTCTCTGTATACAATAACTGGAATAGGAAGAATTTTCTTGAGGATGTCTGTCCCACGCCTTGTACTTTGTGCTCTAGGAGTGTCCTGAATGAGATATTTATCGATTACGAATGACGAGCTAGTCGCTGCCACCCTGCCACAGAAGACATCAGCTCACACCTTTTTTTACCGTCCCGCAAGAGATATAATCTGGGAACCACGACGTACAATCCATCTTTCCCATCTCGACGGAAAATACTCTAGAGACCGCGATACAGAATTGCCCTTGATCTGCTCACTACCGCTTCGCCTTACAAGCTTACCTAGTATTGTTATCAATTTCGGACAATCTCATGCCCAGCATAAATATTGTTGCAGCTTTGTGCCCCCGCTGTAAGCGATTCTGTTTCCTGGCATAGATGGATTCATGACATTTGAATCATCCACCCGATAAAAAGGCGTTGCAGGAACTCGACATGCAATTGCACAGAGGAATCTTGAACTTTAATTAAGAATGCACATTGCGCGCTTCTAATTCAAAATAAACGTTTCATAATCTTTCATAATTGAATATCCATTTTATTCCCTATAATTTGTGAAATATATTAGATGGCCTAGTTACTACTAAATAGTATTCTGCTGAGCAATAGTGCGAGCATTCTCGATGCTTCCATAACGAACTGGCGTGAACTCGCTTAAGCGCTGATGACGACGATACTCCTTAACCAACCAGGTGCCAAAAAACACCAGCAGCACAATAACAGCTGTGACAGCCGAACATACAGCAAAGGCTTCCGTAAGCGGCGTTGACAAATGCCCCTCTTCACTCGACTCTTGCTTGCTCGTCTGAGTGTCAGCATCTATCGATTTTGTTGTTGACCCCTCAAAATTGTGTTGCTTGGATTCGTTTCCATTATCAATACGACGGCAAGAGTATTTCTCGACCTTAACTGCCATTGAGCAATTGCACACTGCTCCCGGACCTTCTGCACACGACCCGTAACCATTACAAAATAGTGTCAATGTCTTGTCTTTAAGACCTTTTTGTTCTGGATAGACGTACATGCCGGCAGATTGCCAGCAATAGTCAACGGAAGGTTTCTGGTACGGTGCCATTTCGAATGCAACTTCTTCTCCATCGTCGAGAGTGTCCTTGACAATTTCGTCGCACGACGGTCCCGAGTACGGTTTGCGCACAGGAGGAAATAATACGGCATTATAATATTTCTCTGCATTCTTTAAACACCCGTCATCACTCCCATTAAGGCCGCAATTATACTTCGGGATTTCTCCAACACCTGAGCAAGCCTTTGCGTCAAGAGGCTTGTACAGCTGCTCAATACGTTCGTCCATCCAGTGAGCACGATTTAGCACAGCGTTGCGCATATCATTCACACGCTCAGCATACGTTCCATTGCAAGTGTCCAAGTCGACAGCAGCACAATACAAGCCATCCGAACGCCAATCTCCGCTTTGACATTTCGTCAATTGACGAGATAGTGGAGCAGAGCTGGTTTCCAGAAATGCTGAAATCTTGTTGTCGCTCCACACTCCGAAAACGGGGTCATCATTCTTTGATGGGTTGTTTCCACGAAGTGTTTTCCAGCGCTGTATGACCAACGATGCGAGCTTCGAGTGGCACATAAGACGTTTCCAATAAGTGTATTGCGGAAAGATCCAGTCTTTGAAATTGCGTCGAGCACCGTTACCGTACGCTAAATTAAGATCCCAGACAGGTCCGGCGTTAATCGTTTGATCTCGATCTTTGAAGAAAAAGGTGCTGCGACGATAAGCGTCAACATTTAGAGACATTTCCGTATGTAGCAAATAGTCAGCGTATGAGCCAAGATCCAGGTGCTTCTCAAGCTCATGTGGCGCTGTCATATTGTACCAAAGTACACGATACATTTGAGGAAGGAAACCAGTATTAATGTTTACAAAAAAGTCGCGCATCTGTTGCGAAAGCGAAGAACCCTCCGGGTATGCCAAAATTGGACGCTCTCCCATACCAAACTCATTCTGGTATTGGTCAATGACCATATTAGGCGAGTAAGAGCCATAACTTGGTGGATCATTCGACCACGCCCAGCCGCCAGACATCGCTTTCGGGTTACGGGCTGCACATGAGGCGTTAAGCTCTGCTAGATTTACATGGTTTTTGTCATACGTCGGCTTTTCCAGCAGTAAGAAAATCCCAGCGTACTTGGGATCCTGCTGGGAAGGGGAGGTTCGCATGTAGACGACAGTGTGCCTGGTTTTCACTGCATAGCGTCCCGTAGAGCGATACAACCACTGCGCAAGATGGTTGCGTTGAAGGGTACAATCAAGAAAAGGTCCATTCATTACGAAAGCTTTGTTCTTGACCAAGCCGAGAAAAGACGTATCTTCTGGAAATTTAAGATTAAACTGATGCTTTCTGAAGTAAAGGCTTGTTTGGCCGCGGTAATTTGCCTTGGAATGTTCAAAAACGGCCGTACGTTCCCCGTTGATGCAATTGAGCTTTCCGTCGACATTATCAATAACTTCAACACGGGTTTTTACTGCCTCTTTTAGACAGTCTTCAGCAGGATAACGCAATTGGTGGCAAGATGAATTTGGAAAGCTTCGATCCACTGCAGACACAATAACGACAGGCAATTCAAAGCATTCCGTTTGGGTTGACGGAGCCTGTTGATAAGATAGCGATGATTGAACGGATGCGATGAGCATCAAAAGTGAAAGAGTTCGCATGATTTAGTCTGATAGCAGAACTTGACTTGAGTAACTCGTTGAGATTAAGAGACTGAGTGTTAGTGGATATATCCTAGCGTCCGTTACTGATAGTTTAAATTGGCGAATACGCGACGTTGTGCTTCGAGCGGGTGCCGCCCACAATGATACAATCGGCGTTGTATGACGTGCTTATGAAGAAAGAAACTGCTGAGAGTGGTATTGAAAATCGATTGACGAATGGTAATCAGAGAATTGACGTTCAACCGTCTCCAGATTCGACGAATCGACCATAACAACTACCAATCCGTTGAAAAAAAGCTATTTTGCTCTATTTTTGCGCGGTGACATACTTGATAAACCTATACGTGATAATGTCAAGGAGAATAGTTCCCTTGTCAGATATCAACTATGACAACTTCTGCGTAAATGATACTACTAATACCTACTTTAAATTTCGACTTATTTATTAAGTATCAGCACGTATCCCTCTTTACGAACATGGGGAAAGCTTGTCGAGATATGGCGGAGGCGTTGCGGGACTGCATGATGCAGGGAGAGTGTATGGCAGACGGAACTAAAACGCTGAAAGAGTGTCTTCACGACCGCGCATACTTATACGAGTGCAAGGTAAAGGCTTATAAACAGTCGAGACACAATCAAGCGACTAATGGTAAATTTCAATAGGAGTACCGTTTGGCATACTTTGAATGCAAGCGCGGCCAGCTAGACATGCGACAGAGAATTCGCGGCCCGAAAGGAGGAATGTCAAAGTCTGCAAGCGGCACTAATTAGGTCAAGAAAACGTTATAGGTTTTGCGGGTGACAATATTTTTCCAAATCGTATCAAGCGCAGATAAGAGTTTCAGTAGGCAAATTGTTAGCTGTCGCAATAAATAAGAGTAGCGGATACAGCGCCATTCTGGCTGTTGGACATTCGGCTCGACTTGTGCAGTTGCTAAATCGAAGAAGGAAAGGTGATTTTCTGTTGAATAGCAATGGAGCATTTCATGCAGCATGCGATATATGTATATAAAGTACTGTGAACACTTGAAATAGAATAGTGGCGAGTCATCTAGGATTAACTCTAGCTTTTTATGTTGAAATTCCTCGCTTTGCTTGAACAAAATCGTGATTTAATCAGAATAATCGTCAGTTATCGTTTGACAGGCCAATGTATGAAGCTTAGCAGTACGTGATACGCATACTGCTGGGTATGAAAAGAATTCACGCTTTTGAATCAATCTATTTTAGTATTTATCAACCAATGTCAATTCGTCACATAGCCATTCCGCGATCCACTACGCTGCAAGTTTTGACATTCTCGATTGGTGTTGCCGCAGAAAGCACATCAGCATCGTTATGTCAGCTTATACAGGGTGATACATCGCGTCCTCGTGTCCAGCACGTACATATACTGAGCGAGAAGTTGTTACTAGCAAATTTTAGTGGTGGAGATAGTTAGCAGCTTATTTTTGTAGCCACTATTATGTCACATGCATTACTGGTAATCGGTATTTGGTAACTACAAAAACGACAAATGCATAATTGCAGGGCTCTAAACGCTTCACGTCGCGGCTTCGCCACCAAGGCAATCGCTAATTTACAAGAGCGTCTCGTAGCACTCTGCCGTCATCGCGGATTTGTCTTTCCAGGATCAGAGCTGTACGGTGGTCTAGCCAACAGCTTTGATTATGGACCACTCGGTACTATTGTGTTATACATTCTGCCCTTCTATCTAATCTGAACTTATACATTGTTGCACATCAGGTGTCCTCATGAAAAAAAACATAATTGATCGATGGTGGTTCGAGTTTGTCCAGAAGCGTCCCAACTGCGTAGGTCTTGACAGTGCCGTTTTACTTAACTCTGCTGTTTGGAAAGCGTCAGGCCATGTCGACAACTTTACCGATCCTATGACGGTCTGTTCAAACTGCAACACGCGGGTTCGTGTGGACCAATTACTAGAATCAAAGTTGCGGTCGCAAGACAAGAATTTTATAGCCTCTTTGTCTTTATCTCGAATGGATGAACTTCTCCTTGAGCACGAAGTTGCATGTCCCAAATGTCACAAGACTCACAGCTTCCAGCCGGTCAAGCAGTTTAATCTGCTCTTTCGTACAAATATGGGTGCAACCGATGAAACGTGTGATTGGATCTACCTTCGTCCGGAGACAGCACAGGGTGCATATATTAACTTTTCGAATGTTCAGAGCACAATGAGAAAAAAGTTGCCTTTTGGAATCGGCCAAGTGGGCAAGAGTTTTCGAAATGAAATTTCACCCGGCCACTTTCTATTCCGAACGCGTGAATTTGAGCAGCTAGAGCTTCAGTTCTTCACGCATCCAAACGAGTCAGACCAGTGGTACGGCTACTGGGTAAACGAGTGTTATAATTTCTTGACAAAGTACGGTATTCGATCCGAAAATTTGCGGAAGCATGAGCACATGAAAGAAGAATTGGCCCATTACGCTCGTGCTACAACGGATATCCAATTTAAATACCCGTTTGGTTGGAGCGAATTATGGGGCATAGCAAACCGTACGAGCTACGATCTGAAGAAGCACATGGAGGCGAGCGGTAAAAGTCTCAAGTATCAAGATATTGTAGCAAAAGAAGATTTTTTTCCGCATGTAATCGAACCCGCCCTTGGAGCTGGACGTGTCATGCTTTCAATGCTCTTGGATGCATACTACGAAGATGAAGTGAATGGGAAAAAACGAACTGTCTTGCGATTGCACCCAGAAATTGCACCGTATCGTTTTGCTGTGCTGCCGCTTGTGAAAAAAGAGCCACTTTTAACGGTGGCAAATCAGCTATTTGAAGATTTGTGTGCATGTGCAAGCGTCGACTATGATGTGAGTGGCAGCATTGGCCGCCGTTACCGTCGCCAGGATGAGATTGGTACGCCAATGTGTCTGACAGTCGACTTTGACACGCTTGAAGACAAGTGCGTAACAATTCGAGACCGTGATAGTATGCAGCAGAACCGCGTGGCCATTGAACACATTATTCAAGGAGCGTCAGCAAGACGCTCCAGCTTTTTTTGAGCACCGTGTAAAGTTTATCTTGATCAACCTACTAAAAGAATGCAACTAGAAAACATGAGCATATATTGGTATACACTGAATCCGTCACCTTTTTTGAGCCATAGAATAGTGGGTAATAATTTACTAAAAAATTACGTCACATAATTCGAGTCTTTTCTTTATGTAGATGACCCAAAATAAAACGTTTTAAAAAGCTCCCCGTCTGTACAAATTAATGCGGTAATAAAAGTGTCGCAGATCTTGCCTTGTATAACTGAAGCAATAATGATGAAGTCGCTCCAAGACATGTACCGCACGTGGCGTGACACAATCTTCGTGCGCTTTGTGTACGCTGTCCTCACACCATTCGTCTTCGTGCTTGAAAGATTGACGCGCTCACACTTTCGTAAGGTTAACGGAGAACGCACTCCTGGCCTCACACACTACCGTCAATAACAAGACATGCACTGGCATCACAAATTATAGGGAGCAGTTTCGCTTACGAGCTCCAAGTTGATAATACCATATATAGTAGAAACACTCTCATAAAATGGTGTTATCGTTTATTCGTCGCGCTCTTGCGGTCTGTTTTACTTCTTTCTGGTGTCATCAAAAGAATATTGTTAATGTTCTCGCGGATGGAGAGGAGCCCACAAAACCTGTCTGTCGCTTCATTCCCAGGAACTCACTCTCTTTCTGTTCCATGGTAGATTACACTGCAGTAATTGATGCCAACGATCCGACGGGTATGAAATTTGATAATAAGGCAGAGTTTTACTACCGCAATGTCGACATTGTGCTGCAACGCTTCGGCTGTCATGCGAAGTACAGTGTCTATGGATGCGACGACTGTCGTGAAGCTTACAAATACTGGATCTGTAGCATTAAGTTTCAAAAATGCGGCTCGCAGACTATAACAACGGATAGAGGTGCTACGAAACTCGCGTACACGACGGACCTATGTGACTTTAAGTCATTCGTAGCATCATCCTCAACATCACCTAGTACTAAAAACAACAGCAAGACGTCAAATTCTTGTGTCGAAGGTTCATCAGGAAGGTATCGCACTTGTTTATCAATCTGCGAAGACGTCGTCAGGAAATGTCCTTATGTGCTTAACTTCCAGTGCCCAACGGTACGCAAGTTCACTTTCTCTGTCACTTTAAATGTTCTTATATTCGCGATGTATACTCCTTATAGACAGAAACACCTTTTTTCTCTGCTGATATTACCACTTGCAACAAGCTGGACCGAGTGTACAACCCGGATCGACCATCTCGTCCCTGGCCAGGAACTTTTGCAGATGCTTAAAAAAGTAATTGTCATACGGTCTCTCAGTTTTTTCATTTTGGCGTTCATAGTACATTTAAATTTGGCTATCGCTGTGAAATATGTGGACAATAAAGAAAATATACGCATAAGCATCCGATTATGATACAGACGACTGTCGCTTACTCGCAATCAATTTTCTAGCTTTTCTGACTGCCATGAGATGGCAATTTTTCTGTACACTGCACTACCTGTTGACCACACACACACATCAATTTTGGGTCGGGTCGTACTTATCAGCTTTGTTGCTTCATATTGACGATTATGACGAACACTCAATTACGTTCATAATGGTGCATGCTCAGTAGAGCAATAAAACAGGACTCGGGCATGTTCGATATGTCACTGAGCTAATTTCTGTTCATACATGTAGTCATTTCAAAGTTCCCAAATTGTAGAATTCAGCACCAAATAATGCTGCATCTGTTACAGCAACACAACTTGTCGCAACTATTTAATATTATTTGTGCATATTTGACCTGCAATTTTCGATAAGTTATGGCCGAGTTCCAAGCCATTATCTTGGCTGGCGGTCGCGGCATCCGCCTATACCCTTTAACCGAGGAAACACCCAAGGCCCTCCTACCAGCAAATGGAAAGCCGCTACTTTGGTATCAACTCAATCTTCTAGAGACATCAGGATTTACTGAGGTGCTTGTGCTTACGTTACCTGACTTGGTACCCCCAATCCAAGACTATGTGACCCGCGAATTCGACGGTAAAATTCACGTAGAAATTTGCGAAGTCACGGAGAACACAGAAACGGCGGATGCACTTCGAGAGGTAGCTGATAGAATTAAGCGCGACTTCATTGTGCTTGCCGGAGATCTGGTTACAGACGTGGTGCTGCACAATATGGCAGATTTCCATCGCATAAACGACGCCAGCGTCACTATGCTGCTGCGCCAAGAAGTGAGTACTCGTAAGACAAAAGGAGAAAAATCACGTCGCGATAAAGATATGACAGATTGTTTTGCGCTCGTTGAGGGCCAGCGGGACGAGGAGAACCGTGTTGTAGTAGCTTCGCAGGCCGTGCACATGAATGAAGACCTTTACGTGGCAAAGAGTCTACTTAAGCGTCGTAGCAATTTTGTGCTACACACGGATTTGTACGACGGTCATTTTTACTTCTTCTCACATTGGGTGCTCGATCTTTTACAAGAGAAAAAGTATATTTCAAGTATCAAGGTCGACTTAGTTCCCCACCTCGTTCGTCGTCAATTCCGAGGAAAAGAAGCATTACCATCAAATGTGAGGGAGAAGGCGGCTAGTAAACAGGAGCTTGCGGCATCACTGTCGCTTTCAAAAGAGAAACATGACCCTGAGGATTTAGTGCGCTGTTTCGCTTACGTCCTGCCACCGAATGCCTACTGCGAACGTGCAGACACTATTCCAGCGTACCGAGCTATGAACGAGGAAGTTGGTTCGCGATTGCGTATCAAGCGTTCAGGATCAATTTCAAATTAATGACTTTCTGTTTCGTAGCTAATTATATGCAAGCAAAGCTCACTATAAGCCTCTCCCATGACTTTTATGGTCACATTTTGCTGACACTGTTCCATTTATCAAGACTAAATTTGACTTCTCGATATGTACTCGTGTTTCGTGCTCTTACCTTAAAGCTATGTCTTGGTCCACAATGCAGTCACACAAAATCGTTGGTGGTCGTCTTTAGCACCTGTGCACATCAGTGCGTTAGAATGTTAATTCTCAATATCGCGCAATATTTTTTTTTAATAATTGCATTCATGTTAAATTTTAAGCAGCTTACGCCATTCATAAAGAATCCTGCTCAATTTCTATTCAAAAGAGCTGTAAATTTGTTTAGGAATTTTCAGTATGGGTGTCAACCTTACTAATTTTAAAATTAATATTTATCGAACATAAAAATCCTACAGTATATGATATTAGGACGCGCGTCCTTTCTCCAAGCGGGCACAGTGGAACAAGCAAAACGCGGTTACGTGTTTCAGTTTGATGAGCTAAACAAGAAAGATAAATTTGTAAATTGTAAAAAAGTTTAATTTTTAATTGATTAGTTTGTTAGAGTTTGTTACAAATAAAGTTATTGGTTACACGAAGCTTCAATAGAGTATTACTTAGTTACTGAGCTTAATGGATTCTCAGCAAAGTTGCCAAGCCACCACTGCACTTGATTCTTTGGACGGCAGTAGTTGGTAACAGCAGATGGACCGATTTGGTCTCGGCACATTGGGCACTGGTAAGAAAACAGTAGCCACTCGAAAACGCACTCGCGATGAAACGTATGGTTGCAATTCAAAATGATGGGAGATGAGTCGTTTGGTCGACTTTGTTCCGAGGTGTTCAGGTGGATTTCTTCCAAACATATCATGCATTGTTCCACATTGGTGGATTCACTTCGATCCAGCGATGACAGGTTGGGTGCGGTTGATGATTTCTTCATTCCACACTCATGCTCTAGCATTGTTAGATCAGTTGTGGTTGCTGACTTTTTGATACCAGGCTGGTTGTTATCCACGAATACTTGCAAAAGAGAGCGCTTGTCGGTATCGTCCTTCACGCCGAGAAAGTCGAAGATGTTTGAAGGAAGTTTCTGACGAGCGTGAAAGCACTTCATTGCACTGCCAGGAAGGAGGATGCAGCGTAGCAAATGTACAAGTACATTTTCCAGCTTTGTTTTGCGGTGATTCACAGTTGCATGCCAAGTTGACATGACCACTGGGCACTTTTTAGGAAAGAAAGCAACTAGGACATCACGAATGGCTTGACACGAGCCACAACAATTCTTGGATTGGCAAGTCCAAAGCTTCTCTACCTTGTTTCGAAAATCAAGAAACTCCGAGTAGCGATAGGAAACACTCCATGTATTCTTAGTTGTCACACTCGAGACCGTGCAATTGTACACGGCGTAGTCGTCTTTCTTGGTTGCTGAACCGACGCTTACTCGTAGAGGTAACTCTTGACGGACGCAGTCTGCCAACGTCTTAATTGTATAGTTCTTGCAATTGCCGCGTTTCTCGATTTCTACGATCTGGGGATCTTCCTGCTGGCCAGTGTAGTTCGGCTCTGGAACAAAATATCCGTTCATAGTTGACCAGATTTCTTTGTTTTGAAACTTATTTGTTTGACTTCTGGCTGGTAAATTGTGAAATGATCATCGAGAACAAGTAGGAATTGTCCTATGTTATCATGTGTATATCGTGTCAGGCCCGTGTCGCATCGTTCGTAGAACAGCAAACATCCATATCTTTATCACCAAAACAGCCGTTGATGCGTACGTCGGCGACAAATACAGTCAACACTGGCATCACATGAGACAGTCAAATCTGGCATGCCGCATGTGACAGTCACGTGCGTCCTGCTCAAAAGCCGTTCCAATATGGCTTACTCATGGAGACATGCTGATAGGTGGAAAAGTGCGCGTCACTAGCAAATCGAACATGTTTTGCATGGCGGAACGACACCAAGCACCAGAGGCTTTCGTGACGTCACACCAGTATTCAGTCACGGCTTCCATGCATTGGGTAGAGTGTGTGCGTCACTCGAGCTGCAAGAAGCGTATGGTAGACACGCACAGTGTGAGGATGATTTATTATCACAACGAGACGATCAATAGGTCTAGGCATTGCAGTGCACATCTGATGTATATCTCGATCAAATGGGTACGAATATCATTGTCAACAAGGTTGTTTTGTTGCTGAAACCTTTAGATTAATTTTGCAGACGAATGTTTCGATCAAATAAATTGCACGGATGACTGTTTGGAATCGTTTCCATAAATTTCACAGCTCCCATCTCATAAGATAAGAACGTTAGCTCCTAGTCAAACTTTCTTCTGATATCAAAGCTGACATATAAGGGTTACCTGGTCGGTGACGCGTCTATCGTGGCACATGCGACGTTTATGGGCATATTAATCATTTCTGAAGTTGCCCTGATTATGCCCGTCCTTTGCTTATTTATTTAGTAATTCAAGATATCCACAAAAAGTCGGATGATGTATTGTCGACATTTATGATATGTCTTGCGCACAAAAATACGATCGGATTATCAGCCTCTATACTACAGAGCTACAGAGCTATAAAGCTATAGAGCTACAGAGCTATAAAGCTACAGAGCTACAGAGCTATAAAGCTACAGAGCTACAGAGCTACAGAGCTACAGAGCTACAGAGCTACAGAGCTACAGAGCTTTATCTTTGCAACTTGATTTAAAAGCACATCACTGTCATCAGCTGGCTGGATCAGATGAGCAAAGCAACCATCTTCAGCTTCAGCAGCAACTTAATTACCAGGAAGTATACTGCAGACTAATCTTTCGTCTCTTCTATCGGCCTACTCACGCATTAACCTAACACCGAGCTGACGCCACTGGATACATGCACGCATGTCTCTTTAGTAGTCACCCTTCGCCCTTCTACATCGTGCGACTTTTTCCTATCTTTGCCTTTCGTATGGTGTCCGTGCAGCACTCTCTAAGACAATTACGCCCCATCGTGCGCTAATACTAGCACAGTACAATACCAACCTTGGTACCTTCCATTCGCGGGCACCGCCAGTTATACAAGTAGTACATAAGGTCACCGTCTCCTGGGCCAAATTTGAGCGTATTGAGGAACTCCATGTTGTCCATCAGACTGAGCGCGTTAAAAACATCAAAACCCTCTTTTTTGGCCATCACCAGCGTGTCGTACATGAGATCGGTGAGCGGAACCGTCGTAGCTACATTATAAAACGAGTAGGCAGCATTCAGTTTGCTATGCTTGTCGTGGCCAATAACTGTCGATGGAAGATGATAAAAACTCGTAAAGTCTGTAATTTTGTGAGTCTCTGGGTTTTCCACGACATACGCGCTGATCACACCGTCTCGAGGCAGCATCCAGTGGGCCACATCATGCTGATCGAAATGCTGAACAAGATCAAATTTCGCTAGATACGTCTTAAGCAGCGTCGTGACCTGGGCCACATCTTTCTTCTGCATTGCTCGAAAACCTTGCACCGATGGGATTTCTGGCAACTTATACATTTTAATGGTACGCGTCATCGTCATTCTTGGTGCCAGTCTAGAGAAGCCCACCTCAATTAGCTTTTTTGGGTTAAGTGAGCGGTGGAAGTAGCGACATTGCGCGACAGGCATAGGCAGCACTACCCCTGCCGTATAAACGGCATGCCAGATATCCCGAAGGTTCACACGGCGCGTGATCTCCTTGATCAGCACCGGTGCAAGCCGCTTGGTTCGCAACTTTTTATGTACACAAAGAAAATTGATCTCTGCCATTGACAGTGTGTTTTGATAGACACGCGTCTTGACAGGAATACCACTTATAAATGCCATCAGTTTATTGGTCTTTTGGTTGCGCACTCCCACGTGCCAGTCTTTGTGGAAACCAGGAGGAGTCAACGCCCACATGAGAAATTTAATCGAGTAGTCAAAACGAAACATATTGTCATCATCCTCGACATAGTTGTGCGTAAGTAGTTCATAGACCTCCTGCGCCTCAATCTGTTTGGTCAGATCAACTATGCTCCATTCAAAGCCCGGTGGCATGTTAAAAGGCTCTTGACGCACATCACTGACGGTTTTTGGTGGATCAATAGCACCATGCTCACGTGGAAATTCATTCAACGCGGGCACAGGCTGTGTCTTCCAGAATTTAAAATCCTTTTGAGCCGCGACGGCGTTGCGATCTGGTGCAGCAGGCTGAGCTGTAGCCAAGTTAAGCTGTTTTAGCACCTCTAAAAACTCCTCTTGCTCCTCAACCGTCACAAGTTCAAGCTTGTCGTCTGATTTAGCGCCTGAAGGCGGGGGAGAATTGCGCATACTCACTCACGAGTGCGGAAATCTTTTTGTAATTTGTGATAGGTGCAATTTGACTGGACTTAATTAGGTCTGAATTGTTATATCACTTGGTATAAATGAAGCAGGTGACTGGAGAGGACCAAGATGACTTCCAGCATTTGCTACAACAGCTTAAAATCACACAGTCTGTCGAACAGCTGGAAAAAGTAAGTGAAAGACACCGCTTTTGGAGTACACAGCCCGTACTCACGTTGCAGAATACAGCTGAAGTACCCTCTCACTTTTCTCCCGGATCTCTTGATGCACCACAAAAGACACCGGACCAAGTACAACAAGAGCCGTACCACATGCCGCCAGGCTTTGCGTGGTCCATTATTGACTTAATGGATCCTTCTCAAGCTGCCGAAGTCTATGAGCTTCTAACGATGAATTATGTTGAGGATGTAGAAAGCACATTTCGCTTTGACTACTCCGTCGACTTTTTGAAGTGGGCTTTAACTCCTCCAGGCTATCACAAAAATTGGCACATTGGCGTTCGTAGCACACACAATAATCAGCTTATGGCTTTTATTTCAGGAATTCCGGTCCGACTTCGCGTGTACAAGGAAATCATGAACATGGCCGAGATCAACTTCTTATGTGTGCACAAAAGACTGAGAGAGCGACGATTAGCACCCGTGCTGATCAAGGAAGTGACACGAAGAGTGAATCTTGCTAATGTGTGGCAGGCCGTATACACAGCTGGTGTGATGCTGCCCATGCCACTGGCGCAGTGTCGGTACTTTCATCGATCTTTAAACCCCACGAAACTGATCGCAGTGGGCTTTTCTTCGCTATCGTCAAACATGACACTTGCACAGACCATCAAGGCATATGAACTGCCAGTGCACACATCGACCCCAGGATTTAGAGCAATGAAGCAGGCGGATGTACCAAGAGTCACAAGATTATTAAAGGAATATTTGGCTAACTTTCACCTTGCGGCGGACTTTAGTGAAGAGGAAGTAGCACACTGGATGGTGCCACGTGCTGGGGTCATCAGCACGTACGTTGTGGAGAACGACGATACATTAGAAATCACGGACGTTTGCAGTTTTTACCACCTCCCATCGTCAATCATTGGTAACGATCGACAGAACAAAATTTTTGCAGCCTACTCATTCTACAATGTAGCTAAGTCAGTGAGTTTTCAGCAATTGATGCAAGATGCGCTCATCATGGCGAAATTGAAGGAGTGCGATGTATTCAATGCTCTGGACATCATGGAAAATGGTGAAATGCTACGACCTCTTCAATTTAGACCCGGCAGTGGTGAACTGCAATATTATTTGTATAACTGGCGCTGTCCGCAGCTGTCCAGTGACCTTGTGGGTCTCGTACTGCTCTAGCGGTAAACATTAACGATTTTTTGTGTCACTTACCATTCCAGCTTAGCAGATACTTGGCTTTCATTTTTAAGCTTGACCATAAAAGTAAAAACAAGCATAAAATTAATACTAAAGCGGTCTTGTTATAAGTTTATCATTTATGTACTTTCAGCGCATAAATATGACTTGCAAAAGGTAAGTTCAAATCGTGAGCTTATACTCTACTGGACGCATACATGTCGCTTGCTACTTTGGCTATTATTTGTATTAGCCACGTAAATGTTAACATTTTCGAATTGTACATACAGCATATCAAATTTTCTTGTGCTATCTATCTGAAAACATATTTTGTGCAGTAGTAAACAAAATTCAGAATGTGTATTTTGTATGCTTTTTTTGGTCGAGGAAATCCTTACAAAAAGTTGGCATAAACGTTCTGACAAGACCCCTTGCTTCACATTCTATTACTACTCTATCTTTTTCGTTGCCGGCAGCAGCGAGTGCAAAATGATGTCTTTCTCGCAGCAGTAGGACGTCGAAGGCGCGATCGTCATATCCGGCGTCTAATCTTACTCCATCCAAAAATGACCCATGGAGTATGCTATTCGGTTCAGGATGTAAATAGTCATTTATTACTTTTACCAAACTAGATCATCGCGCCTTCAAGAAGCTACTTTAGGTCTTCGAACAACCATACACTAAGATTACACCAAATTCAAAGTCTAGATACACTGTTCCTTAATGCAAGGGCTACCAGGTCATATCAATGCTGCTACATGTTTAGCATTAACGCTAGCGTGAACAACAACTCGAAGCTCCACGATGGTATGAGCTTGTGGCTTTGTCGGTATGCTCACTGTTTCTCCGATTCGGACTACGAACCCTTTTTCTGTTTTGACATCCAATGAAGACGCGCGGGAACGTCTTTTAACGACTGAAGAAATTGAGCAGTCCCAGGCCACCATTTTTCAGGTATTTGATGCTCACAAACGTTTGAGACGTCGCAGATGGGTTGAAGAAATACCTTGAGCAATCGGGTGACGTCGTTATACAGAATATGCCTTACAACAGTGGACACATGATCATTACATCGATAATATTCTTTGCTTAACCTTAACGGGGTCATTGGCAGTCATCAACACTCCTAGGGCAACGCACGACTCACAAATCACAAAATTCGGGAATACCTATTCTGATGTCTATGTGGAGATCGGAGCTTGTGTGATTATAGGCTCGGTTTTTCTCTCGAATAGACTAACCATTCCTTATCCAGTCATCTCAAAATTTGCCACTCACGTCTCGTGCCTAGAAAGTTCTTCGGCCTCAGCAGGCTACATCAGTGCGACATGCTGTAGAGCGGGGAATGCGAGCTCTCAAAGGATTTCTTCCTAGAACTAAAGAATCGAAGAGGAAGAGGAAGAAAGTCTTGTTACAAATGATAGCACTGCTTTTCACCTTTCGCACCAAGTTTGTTAACTCAAATCAAATATAAACGACGTATATGCCGTGCTTGAGCATCGAAGCAAATCATCTATGGAGAAATGATGTAAAAGAATATTTTGTGTAGCTAGTCCTAATTTTTTGAGCTGAGGTCATTACAATCGTCATCATCGGCGGACTATCCCTTACTTTCCAGCGTAATCTATCTGCCTTGCGCTCGTCTTCTTTCGATTACTCGTCTGATTCTCTCATCATGACATTCCTCATCACGCCGGATACTCTCGTCTTTTCGTGTTTGGCGATCTAGCAAGCGCTCTTCTTTCTGCAGCAACATTTATATTTCCATCATTCTCAAACGTAAAACTTCACCGGCAGCCGCCTTCTAACGCTTAAGAATATATAAGCGTGTCTTTGTTGTCGATCCAGTCCGATCTGTGTTCGAATGCGAAGATGCTGTTGCTCTAAAAGGTTTCATAAGTGCTCCAAATTGTCACCTTACATATATAAAACGGCATATCCATGCCGTCTGTGGTGCTTCGACCTTTGCTTTAAGCTGTGCTCTGCTGCAAGAAAAAAACTACAAGCAGATGCCGATGGACATGAGAGCGCCATCAGATTTGAGTTTTGCCGAATTAATTCCGCAGGGTGGAACTGCCGCATAAATGACATCAAGCAAATCTGGTATAATCTCTTGCGAAGCTCACTAAACATCTGTTTCCAACCTCCAGGATTTACAGAAATCATGCATGTCGTGCACAGCGACGTCGTTACTCATCCCTTACAGAGAATGGCATGACGGCGATGAAACTATGCAGAATATATGTGCGAGGTGATATATACGTCGGATCGACGAAATCTTGTTGCGTATGCACTTTCTCAGCCTAGGCTTTCGCGAGTCTTACGGGTAACGTTGTTAATTGATGAGATAATACGCACGGCGTAGGGTTAGACCCAACACTTGTTACACTGCTCGAAGCAATTTTTGTTGAGATCGGACAAACGCACTCCACTGTCCGGGAGTATCATCTGTGATATCTCTCTTGTCAATACGTCGTGGTATTCCTTCAACAACGAATAGAATGGATTTGTAGGCTTCTTGATGATAACTATATCACTTCTTGCACGCACTGTTCCGCGAGTATTTTCAATGACAGATCCATCCATGACAGGGTATGAGCTGAGCTCGTGCTCTACTCCGACCGCACCATTTTGGTAACTTCACCGCCTTGCAATTCCTTGAACATATCCCCAAGAAGTAAAATCTAAGCTCTAAAATACCTTCCGCCGAAGGTAGTGAGGAGTTATTTTTTACCTCTTACCAATGGGGCCTTTTCGCTCCGCAGGTTAAATAGTAGTTATGATTCATTAGTACCGTTACATCGTGATTGGATGAGTCATACCTCTCTATTTCGGGGTCTGGCTATTCTATTTATGCTTACTGCAGCAAAAAGCATTATATTAAAGGTTCACTGAAAAGATCACGACATCCGTCGCTCCTTTCTGTCTCAATACAGATACACTATAGATACTGCCATACACAAACGATACTCTCTGTCTCATTCAAAAACCGCGACTTTCACCTGCTTGTGCCTTCTAAGACCTGCTCCAAACATATGGCGTTATCATTGTTAGACAATGAAGATAATCAAGCGTCTTCATGCCGTACCAAGAAATGGTATAACTTACCAGTAAAAGTGGGATTATGGATTGCCAAATTTCCACTAGGATACAGTGCGTGGTACCAAACATATTTATTGTCAGATCTCGTGGCACTTGGAGCTCAGGCCACGACATACCGAGGATAAAATCACATTACGGACCCAAGTCTATGGTGACGAAATGCATGACATTGCCATAGTTCTCAATTTACACTTCATGTTCAGTGGGAACCTGAAACCTATACTTTACTCTAGTATTTCTGTGGATAGACGCACGGATACTGTATGCGTATCTCCATCTTCAGCGCCATGGCCTACTGTCATCCATTCTCAACGGTCGCGCATTGTAATTTATTTCATGCGCTCCAGCATCTATCAGAACTTACCACGGATTCACAAAACATGATTTGCACACAAGAAAAACCCTGGCTCTGAGCAAAGAAATAGTCGCTTGATCTGAAGATGAATCCGGATGACCTTGGACTCCACGAGGTATGATAGAACCCAATTCTTTCCCAGCAGGAAGCAGAGTGCATTTACGAAAAACAATATATTTTTTGCGAAGATCTACGTCAGATGACCTTGTATTGAAGCCCAACTCTTTGTTTCCTCGTAGCCGAGAGATGATGAGGCGTGAAGGCTCAGATGGATTGTACTATCACAAATTTGAGGGTGTTACGTCGCTGTTCAGCAGCAAGGAGATTCTCTAAATCTTTAACAAACTTGTGTTTATCAATACTCGTGCACTTTCAGAGCTATCGGCTCTAGCACACCCATCGGACAGAAGGAGTCCTTCTTATTCAAGGGAGACATGCGCTGCTCTTTCGGTAGTGGTTCAGGGAATGCGGGAGATATCGAAGCGAGTCGCACCTGTTCGGAGATCCTTCAAGAGATGGTAATTCACCATTACGGCAATAAGATTCCACAACGTTCAGCCTGATCTATCAAAATAGCATCCTCGAATGCTTATGAAAATGTATAAGCACTAACGGCACGCCTAGTGGGCGGTGCGAACACCCGCGGCATATGTCGCGCAGCACTTCTCATGTCAAAGAATGCCTCGTGTACTGAGGTACAACACGTTTTCGCTCAATCACGGCTGTTACCCGTCCAAAGTGTGGACATATTGATGATCATCATAGTTCCTCTCATTATTTGATTCCTTGCTACCTCACGGCTGGACTCTTGTCATCATCGGTTTAACGATTGGTTGGAGCCAGCTATATTTCAACCAATCCACAAACTTCTGGCTGGGATGTTCTCGCCAGCGCTTTATCGCGGCTAGTCTATACCTCAAGGATAGCAAAGTTTGCTCGTGGCCTTCGGGCTGCCGTAGTTCGTTGCTAAGAAGAAGTTATACAAGGGATACCGACCCTACGTTCTTTCCAAGACCAGTATGAGTGTAGTAGATCGCAATCCGCTACTTCCGATTTCTGAAGCCTTAACCAAGGAGTACGAACACTTCTCTTCAAATTGAAACTGTATTTAATTGTTTTAGTTGCGGCAGAGCCGCCAATATTGAAACCCTATGTTTTCCTAAGAAATACAGTAATACCTGATCAATATAACAAACCAAATTAATGTAGTGATGTACATATCTACGGGCAATATTGCCACGTGGTGGCTTGTTGATACCGTGTAGCCATACAACTGTACGATTATACTAACCTGTGTAATACACACCGAAGGGAACGTGTACCTCAGATACACTCTCCCACATTAAAACTGTGGAAATCCTCAATTCACATTTAGCTGCCGTCTCATACGAGGCTCGCGTGTGTGAGACAGCTTAACGTTCCTTAAGAATAAATTTAAACAATTCCCGCTCTATGAGCCCTGTGCCTACGACACGCAAAACACCCAACCTAGCTGGAAGCGAGAAGGCCCGCGGGCAAAGCCCTTCTTCTTCTTCTTCTGCACAGG